TTTTTTAATAAAAAAATTTTGTATTATTTTTGCAAAGTCTCAACATTGTGTCAAACCACACACATCGTCTTTTATTACTTTGTGCCGATATGATAATGTATCAATAATAATGTCATGATGCCCATCGTAGGTGAACCAGCTTTCGCAGGCGTATGTGCAGCGGCGTACACAACTGGAGGACAACGAAACTTACCTGCAGCTGCAGAATCTCGAAAAGAAGTGGCAGCATTACGAGCAAAACAACTACGTAATGAAGGTATAATCCCAGTTAGCAACGAATGTCACATAGGCTCGACATCAATGCCAACGTTCTATTTTCTTAATCTCTTTGAAGACAGACTAACTGTGGTGAAACTAACTTTATTTTAACCTAGTTCATCGCTAACCCAGACCGCCACTCACCAACAACCACTAACCTTAACTAACCACTACTGTTCTCACCAGAAACCACTGATATAAACCTTACTAGCAACCCGTTACATGTTAACTAGCATCCCCACCATCATCACCAACCATCATCTTTTACCGTCCCTATATGACAGCAACCAGGAGCAGCTAGCACTCCTGAGCGCGAGCAAGTGTTCTTGCTGTGGCGAGGGGGAGTTGCATGATATCTGTGTGACTAGCTAGATGTCTCTCTCATCTCTCTCTTTCTCTCACGCAGGAGTTTATCGGGAACAAGATGAGGGAGACGGATTACTCGGTGGTGAAGCACAGCGTTCTTGAACAGCTGCAACGCTACAACAAGCACATCATCGACAATGCTGGCAAGCCTGGCAAAGCTATGTCAACCATGTCATAATATGTATGCTGGCAAGACTGGCAAAGCTATATGTCAACCATGTAATAATATGTATGCTGGCAAGTCAACGTCAGTTGTGTGAAGATGAGTACACTGGAATTATAAGTAGCGCTCCTACTCTATCCTACAGTCGCTTCTCCTGCTGCATGTGTTGGCAACTTGATGGTTTGGTTAACTCCAGTTGTTGATTTGACAGCCTGGTTAACTGGAGCCCTAGTCGAGACTCACAGAGCGATCAGGATTTTCCAATTGCTGATCACTGTAGCCCTTTTTACCCCAACAGCTGCGAGAGAAATGCTGGGTTCAGTCACATTATCACCGTACATTATTACTCACGCATCGTTGTGCATTCCTATTCGTTCATGAAGTCTGCTAGTTTTAATTTGTGATGAACTGTGTAAAGTTACGTTGCCTACTAATATCAGGGGTGACAACCGTGACATAGTATAGATATTAAATCATCTTTATATATTATCAAGAGCTAATAACAGTTTTATTAGAGTGTAATAACAAGATTAATAACAAGAGACATTGTTAGCTCTTGATATTATGTTAGGTATCCGTCCAGAAGATGTAATTTATTGTACTATGACAGTTTAATAAACAATTAGATGTGAAAGTTAATAAAATAGAAATGCGAGCTGCTTTCCGATTTACTAGAAAGCATAAAGCTCATATTTATTATTCAAATGTAGTGATTCACTTCTCGCAGTGGATGTAGTGAGGAGCAAGCATATGTTAGTGTTGCTTAACTTCCTGCTTGTAATAGAATCAGGATTACATGATATAGAGATTCTATATCTCATACTCTTATGCTATGATCTATATATCATGTACTCCTGATCGAATAAATGTACGTGAAGTCAACATGAAGAGACTGACAGAGGATGTTCACCGATTAGATTTCTGTCTCATAAGCAGTTGCTACGACACACAAATGCGCGCAACATGATGCACTCTGTTTTGCGTAGAGCAGCTTGTGTGATAATCGTTTTCCACGACAATCCGTGTAAGTGCGCATGTTTCGTTTAATGCGGTTATAAAATTCACTGCAATGTTTGTTACGGTTCACGTGAATAAATTTATTTGAGTAAAAACGTATTAAAGCGTTGGTAAATTACGCAATACACTGAATTATCATTTACATTACAGACATATAATTTTCAACTACATTTACAGTTTAAGAAATACAGAGACTTACTAAATACACATTGCATTGCATTGTGCCTACGAAAGAGTAACATGTTCCCAAATGCATGATGTTATACAGTATATAATTTCTCTTGCAGTGCAATACAATAATCTTCATTGTATTGACCGAAGAGAAATATATTTAAAAAATGTTATATAACTTATATAACATTAAGAAAGGCAGAATACAAAAATAGTAGTGGCAGCGTGGTGACTGCGTTAAGCAACAGCAGCCTCAGCTATATACAGTGTTGGTATTTATCACATTGTCACAGCCTTGAACTCCCGAGTTGGATTCTGTTGTCGATCACTGATTTCCACGCGGCGCCCTCTTGCTGCAACTGCTGAATGTCTGCGTAGCTGAGATGTCCACTGCTCTGGAGTCCAGCAGCCAGTCTCGCATACACGCTGAAATCGAGAATGGCGATATAATGGAAAATATGCAACCCGTTTGTTTTTAATACAGTAAACAGCGGCTTTAATAAAACGTCGGGTATAATGCATTCCCGCTTGGCCCTCTCTTTTCTCATATTCACGTCTAATTGCTTTTTTTCTCTCACTTTTTAAAAGCGGCTTTTTTTCTGTTCACAGGAGCGAGACAAGTGAGCGCGTCCCAAATCGTACGTACTCGCCCGCTCGCAGCACAAAGGTTGAGTATCTGTTCTCTGAGGAGATCTCGTGTTCGCGCACGTTCTCCCCACGTGAACTGGTACTGGCGCGGGGCGTCGGTGCTCGGATAGCGCTCGTAGTTAAGGTAGAGCTGTCTGCGTGAACTCCTGCGTGATCAGCTTGGCGCACATGCCTCCGACAGATGCGGTGATCTTCGCTGCGGGAAGCCGCGGGAGAGCGACGGCGTTAACAATCTTACTCGCGGCGGTACGCTCTCTGTCCACCACGACCAGCATTAACAATGACTCAATGCTGTGTGTTTGTTCTGACTTCTTTGTTTAAAAAAAAAATTTTATATTATATATCATAATGTATGTATATATATATATATTATATAATATATTATTTGGTTCCTATATAACACCAAACTGCTATCCTATGTATTGTCGCGTGATGCAATTCCATTGACACCACAATGCTCTCGCGAAATGCGGTATTCACCGTTTCTGCGTAACAGCCAATGTGTATCAACATGCAACGTAATGTAATGTAGCTCGTCCCGGACGCATCTGCCGACACGCCTGCGACTCGGGCCGTGAGCGTCGGGGACGTCTTCGCTCACCTCGAGACGTCGACGGTCGCAATCTATGCAGGAACTGCCAGAGATGCCTTCGGCGAGAACGTTCCCTTCCTGAAGATCAGGCCCTTTGAGGATGACCGAGCAGGTAAGATACGTTCTTCGTGTGAATCTTGCTTCGGACCTGCAAGGCGTAGTGGACGTCAGTGTTGCGAAAATCGTGCGCGGTGGTTCTCTCGCGCAGGGAAGTTCAGAATGGCATGTGGACGGAATGGGGGAGTGAAGCGCGGGAAAGGGTGGTTCCAGATCACTTCAGCAGGGTCTCCGCCGGGCGTTCCGCTTTTATGATTTCAGAAGGCATGTCATTAAGCAGAACGGATGGTGGAGCGCTGCCGGAAGCAGTAGTACCGATTTGGAATTCAATTACACGTCATAAAATTTAATAAATCATACAACTCGCGTACGGCTAGAAATTCGCGCAGCTGGGAAATAACTGGACGAAAACCCATTAATGATTGGGAAATCTGAACAGTGAGATGTAAAGGGTGTAATGTTAATGAAGTAAAGGGTATCGTAAGAGAACGACATCAGTATCAACTCTGTAACTATCATAGCTCGAATCAAGCAGACTGCCTAAAATTATGACCATCCTTTAATTATGAACACCCAAAGCGATACTGCTGTTGTGGATTTTAACACGCGAGTCTCTTCTGCCAGAAAACCTACCATTCCAGATGCATGGCAGCTGGCAGTTCATTCACGAGTGAGTAACTTCCGCTTACGACTAAAGTGGGGGGGGAAAAAGGCTCAATGAGCTTTTCATGCCAAAGACCTGCAAACCTCACACTTTAACGTTAAACACACAAAACAACATTCTTATACAAATTTTATATAAGATGTGAAAATCTGTCACGTGTAAATTATAACTTGGCACATGTCCGGCAACAGATGAGGCTGTCGCGCTAATCGTGAATTGGAAGTTGCCACCAGGCTTATTAGCGCGATTATCGTTACTACATTTGATTTATTTGAGGCGGCAGTGGGTCAAGACATGAGACATGTTCCACTGCAAGATCGGTACAACCATAAACAGCACGCGCCATGGCCTCGGTCAAGCTTCAGTAACCTCACAAACTCTGGGCAGAAAACAATGCAGCCACCTCATCAGAATAACCCTGTCCCACACCCACCTCGAGCGTTAAAGACCGAGCCACCCTCGAAGCAAAACTACCAAGGCCACCCTAAGTAGACTGGACGATCAATCGGACGGAAAACTATACGAAGCCGCTCCAGGAAGATTGGAAAGCCTGGTGAAGATGAATGCTTTCGCCATCTGTAGCGGATCGCACGGGGCGCGATGAGACGCTCCACGAGCTCGCGCAGCTGGGCGCGCACAGCAGTCGATGCACGGCTATGGAGAGGTTCCGGAATGCTCCTCTCAGCACGTGCTTTGTTGACTTTGTCGCGTTTAAT